ATATATATATATATATATATTGATTTTATATACAATTTGATTTCTTGCATATTGATAAAATATTCTATCAGCTTCCCACAGGCTAAAAAATTTAAATATTCCAAATTTGATATCGGTAGGACCTGCGTTGTTATTGAAAGACAATTAAATATAATTAGAACTCGTTAAAATAAAAAGAGTGTGATAAGAAGAGGTGATATTACTAACATGTCAATCCGTTCCCTAGGCTATAAAAAGGAGATCCCATACGACAGTAATGCAAGCAGTTTTCCTGAGGGAGACAGGCATCCAGACAGAGATAAAGAACGAGTTAGCACAACAAATTACACCACTTATTATACAGCGGTAAGAAAATACCGTACCTTGTTGTGATAGCGCTGCTGCCGATGGTAATGATAATGATAATAATGGCAATAATGACGATTGAGATAACATTGAAGATCATGAAGATTAAGATGATTGTAATGATGTTTATGGTGGTGATGATGATATTGAGAAAGGATAATGGTGATGAAGGCGGTGTTGATAGTAGGTCACAGTGATAATATTGACTAGTGCATCATGACGAAACAATGGATGCTAAAAATTACAATAAAAATAGTTGTGATCATGATCGCCAAATACTATAATAAATCGGATGGTGTTTCATATGGCATTCGGAAACAGCTTCGAAAACGAAATTTTGGGGGTTTTTTTGTTCGTCTCTAAACAGCCTCCAAAGAATTTTAAAAATGAGATTATCTCTGGAGCCGAAAAACGTGTCGTCAGCATGGTAACATTTGGAGAGCCGAAACGGGGAGTGACGTTCTACAAGACAACACAAAGCGAATCCTATCCGACAATAAAGCCGCTTAAACCCGTTACTAAGGTGCTTGGGCCCGAGAGCAAAGTTCCAATGGACTACTACAGTAAGTATATTTTCTGGATTCATATACAAAGTATTTTAAAGTGATTTTGTTTTATCTTTGATGATCCACAAAGAAACGACATATTTTAATGGCATTTTAATGTTCAGCAAAAGATTGGTTATCTTTCGGACCCAAAATCAACTCTATTCCCCAATGGGTTAGCCTGCCTACAAGCCAACATTTTAGAAGACAGTACAATTTTATAATAAAGCTATCATTATAAATATAATAGTATGGTTCTTATGAATGGTAATATACATATATGGTAAAATATTAAAAGCATTTTTTTTAGATTAGCTGGATGTATTTGATTATCTCGGTAAACAAGGACAGTGTTGAAAATGGAAACAAATTAAAATCTAACATCAATGGGTTGATTATTTGATCAGGCCCATGGTAGACAGTTTCTTCTGGTCTAGCAAGAGGAGCAGAAGCCAATTTTAAAACAATGACTGTATATACAATGGTGTACTTTGACGACTAAAATTGTTGTTGTACATTAGGCAGAAACGAAAGGAAGTAAAAATTCTACATATCAAATTTGTAATAGCTGATTTGATTTTTTTTGTTCCTGTTGCAGAGTATTGAACAACTTTTATTTGTGTATTTGATATTTTGGTTTTGTAATGAACGTACGGTGTATGAGCATGTGCCACCGACATAAATCAGTTTGTTTCAATAAATTCAATAAATTAACTCATAGGTATTTACTCAAATTCAAATTGAATTTCAAAATTTTTATTAATTCAGGAAACATATATGTTCAAGTTCAAAGTAATCTTTATTGTTCAAGTTCAAAGTAATCTTAATTTGTAAACAAATTGAAGTTTAACATTTAAAATCGGAAGAAGACAGGCAGGAAAAATAAACCACCTAAACAATATAGAAAATTCAAAAACATCTAAAAATTTAAAAGCACGGTAGGTAAAATTCAAAAAATTGAAAAAAATTATATACAATTAGATAATCATTAAATACCAAATTAATATTTCATGAGAAAAATTAGAAATTCACATTGAGAACAATTTAAATACATTAAAAATTATTATTATTAAGATATTTTATATACATCAATTGGGTAAAGGATGGGTAGAAAGCGATGTGTTCAATATGTTGACAATTAAAAATATGATTTATGTATACATTCATTGAGAAAGTAGAAATTCACATCGAGAACACATTTAAATACATTAAAAATTATTAAGAAATTTTAAATACCGGTACTGTACATCAATTTGTATTAAGAGTTAAGTTAAAAACAAAACATTCAATGCAAGGAACACCGTTTCGATACGAATGGGATCACTGTTAGGTCATATTTTTTTTATTTGACCATTTATGAAAAATGCAATAATTTATAATAAAATTCTTAGATGTCTCGGTTTTCACATTTGGTAGTTTAAATTCTCTTCTGGTTCTCAAGCAGTAATTGTGGGAGGGAGAATCTGGAAGGAGGTAATTTTATCTATGGTGTGGGTTTTTAAGCTTTGTAAAGTATGTCTTGCAAAGTGACTATACGACAATCATAGATGGTTAGGATATTGCATTGGATTAAGGCAGGATTGTACGAAGTTGAAGGAAAAATCGTTCTAATGGCTCGTCTTTTGATTGATTCCAGTTGTTTGTTTTGTTCAGCGTTATGCTTGTCCCAAAGACACATCAACCGTGTAATAAAATGCCTCCGACGGGATTCGAACCTGCGACCTCTTGCTGACAAGGCGAGCGTCATAACCACTAGACTACAAAGGCTTCATGGTTGAACAGGTCCAAGTAACCGTCGGGAACATTGTATTACACAATGGTATGCCTCAAGAGGCGTTCGGCCAGATAAATCTGGTGATACGGCTAGAAATGAATACTGTCGTATATTATATTTAAGGAAGTTAGCCGTTAACATTGCTGCATAAATATAATATAAATCATCAAGGGTACATATACAGTGTTTAATAAGGACATGATGGAACATCGTAGGCTACCCTGTAGCTTTTTAACGAATAAAGTCCTATAAAAAGTAATTGTGTAATAAAATGCCTCCGACGGGATTCGAACCTGCGACATCTCGCTGACAAGGCGAGCGTCATAACCACTAGATCACGAAGGCTTCATGTTTGAACAGGTCGAAATAACCGTCGGAAACATCGTATTACACAATGGTACGCCTCAAGATGGCGTTCGGCCAGATAAATCTGGAGATACGGCTAGAAATGAATACTGTACTGTCGTATATATATGATTTAGGAAGTTAGCCGTTAACACTGCTGAATAAGTATAATATAAATCATCAAAGGTACATA